AAAAGGAGTGCTTTAGCAATTTCTATTATTTCTCCTCCTGGCAACACAGCAAGAATTTATCTGAAACTCATTTAAACAATCCCTTCATTTATCTGTAACAATTCCCTTTTAACACCTCATTTTCTTCCAGATTTACGACATCTTCCAGCTACTTCCCCCCAAGATCCAGGTTGGCGTGTTCTCCGCCACCATGCCTCCCGAGGCTCTCGAGATCACCCGCAAGTTCATGAACAAGCCCGTACGCATCCTCGTCAAGCGTGACGAGCTCACCCTCGAGGGTATCAAGCAGTTTTACGTGAACGTCGAGAAAGAGGAATGGAAGCTCGAGACACTTTGTGACCTTTACGAGACCCTCGCCATCACACAGAGTGTCATCTTCGTCAACACCCGCCGCAAGGTTGACTGGCTGACCGACAAGATGCGGGCCCGCGACCACACTGTCTCAGCCACTCACGGTGACATGGACCAGAACACTCGTGACATCATCATGCGCGAGTTTCGTTCGGGTTCCTCAAGGGTTCTCATCACCACCGATTTGTTGGCTCGTGGTATTGATGTTCAGCAAGTTTCGCTCGTCATTAACTATGATCTCCCGACGCAGCCGGAGAACTATCTTCACCGTATTGGACGAAGCGGAAGGTTTGGGAGAAAGGGGGTGGCGATAAATTTCGTGACCAAAGAAGATGATCGCATGCTTTTTGATATTCAGAAGTTTTATAATGTCGTGGTTGAGGAGCTGCCGGCCAATGTGGCGGATTTGCTTTGAGGAGTGTGGTTCGTTCGACTCGTTTGGGTTGTGTTATTTTGTTCTTGCCCGAGTAAGTTATTATTGTTACTGTCGTGTTTTTTCGTGGAGGTCCTTAGGGTTTTTGACTGGTGCTGCTTGGGACTTTGNNNAAGGAAGGGACTTTATTTTTTTTCTCTCAATTTGAAAAATTTGATGTTCGAAGACTTTCTTCTTCCTACTGCGGTTGGGAAGTTTTTTGTTTGGGTTTTTTTCTTTGTCGGTGTATTGTAATTGTCGTCTTCAAGAATAACTGGTGTTTTGGATGATGATGAACTTTTTATGGAGTCTTTATGTTAAGAAGTTTGAATTTGTTCAATGTGATTTGGTGGTGTGTTGTGGGAATCTTGATTTTAGAGATATTTAACATGGTGATCCTTGGGTTGTGGTTTTAGTCTATATTATATAAAAATCCTTGTTATGTTTTTCTAAAACCAACAAGAACAATAAATTGGGGGGCTTTGAAACAATTTTTTGAAAGAAAAAAGTATTTGATAAATTGAAAGATGAGTTTTTTTTTGTTTTTTTCTTTTCTTTTTTCCCCCCAAAGCCATTTTGTTGTCCACTTTTTGGTTACGAATGTGATATACTTTTGTTTATGTTATTTGTATAATATTTTTTAATAAATGTATAAGTATCAGTCAAGGCGGTCTAATAAATACATTTATATATATATATAATTGCTAGCTAATCCCATTTAATAAAACATTTAATAAAAATATTTTCACTTTCCCTCCAAAAGGAGTTACATTTTTTTTAATTAATTATTCATTAATCTCACATTTAAGAAGGTTTTTTATAGTTAAATTTAATTAGTTAATGACTAAATTAAAAAGATTTATTTTAATTAATCTCACATTTATGTTAAGTACAGTATTATCTTAATATCTTATCAGTTTTTTAAAAAAATAGTAACTTTTTTCAATAAATTTTATAAAAATTAATCAAATGTGCTTATATTCATATAAATCAGAAAAAAAAATAAAAAATCTTAGATATATAAAAAGAACATCGTTGAAATAACTTGAATCTGCAAGGGTAATTCTATACTCATTGTCAATTACTTTAAATTTTTTGTTTATATTAAAAATTAATATTATATTTACTCATTTATATTTAGATGGTATTTTTTTTATTAAGAAGTAAGGACAATCTCTATCAATCAATAAGAGTCAAGGACAAATAATATAAAGAAGTGTTTCCTATGCTATGACATGATCAATAAGAGTCAAAGACAATCTCTGTCACACGTCGGCTTACTACTGAAGAGCTCTGCATTTAGTCATGAGCAATTATACGTGGCGCTTTTTAGAGTTACGAGTCAGTGGGGTTTGAAGATTTTGATTTGAGCTGAGGGAGATTTTGACGATAGAAAAACCACGACGTTGTTTTATAAAGAAGTGTTTAAAAATATTTACATTTTTTTTTCTTAATTTTTTTCAATGAATTTGTTATGATTTTTACTATTGTTTATAATTTTTATTATTTTTTCATGTATCATATAGTTTTCCGTGCAAATGCACGAGACAAAAACTAGTAATGTTAATAATGGACAACAAGTTCCTTCAGTTTATCAAGGGTTATACAGGCTTGAAAGTCATGTAAATAACTATATTTTAATTTTTAAATGGCTCCTCACGGACCTCACCTCTCAATAGCCGCACTTTTATAGTCTTTTAGAACAATTGAAAGGATATCATATATGTTTTGACTAAGTCCTTAATGTTGAACTTGAAACTGTCAATCAGTGGTTTCCTTTTAGCTGAATTTATTAAGACCATAAAATATATGATAATCACAAAAACTCGTGACGTTGCTATCTATAATTTTATATAAAATATTGTCCTATAAATATAACATCTTCTGAAACGAAACTCAAACCACATGTTCTAAGCAAACTTTTTGCCACCACTAACTTTATTATGGCGCATGATTTTAATAACCCAATTGCTTTCTCAATCTCACGAAATACCTTCTGAATCTTGAGTTTATTATGTTATTACATGAAGCATTTTTACCTCAAAATGGTAATGGATTAACAAATATAAGGCTACTATTAGACTATTATAATGACAATCATAAATTTTCAACAATGACTGGTCTTGCCTCGAAACTGCCTAATGATCAGACAACATATTTTTCCATCAAAGTCACATACTTTCATATTCAAATGTCACACTTTTAAATACAATCTAAACAAAAGAGCAACGTTTTGTAATATATATAGCATTTCTTGCAATAAATATGATTGCCTAAAGGTTAAGCAGACAATGTAACAAAATTATTTGTGTGCCAACAATATATATACTTTTAAACTATACAATCATATTTTACAAAACAGCATAACCAATGACATTTCATATTATAACAATACATTTTTATTAAAAGGAATATAAAAATTAATTCACCTAATATCAGACTAAACACCATAAGTTTAGAAAAGATGGTAAATTTTCTTTGACTAGTCTCATATAGAATCTCATTCCATTGCATTAAACTATACATTTTCAAAACCCAAGAATTACATTCAAATTCCCTTTTTAGTTGGCAGTTTGCCTTTTGATACCCTCTCATTTCTTACCTAATTTTCCTCAACAAATAATCCCACCAATTTTCTCTTTTTTTCACACTTTTCAATTAAAGAAAAAAAAACCTTCAAGAAACCCATGGCAGTTTACAGATCAAACTTCTACGGTGACAACAATATGCAAATACAGCCTTACTACGGCTCCCCATCAACTGCAGGGCCCAAAGATTTCAGGTCCTACAGCGACTCTTACTATATCCCACCGCCGACAGCGGCGCCGCCGCCGCCGGAGAACCTCAAGAGAGAGAAGAGCGCAGGTGGGTCGGGTTCAAAATCTTGGATTTTTAATGATCCTGAGCTGCAGAGAAAGAAAAGGATTGCTAGCTATAAAGTGTACTCTGCTGAAGGGAAAGTCAAAGGGTCTTTTAGAAAGAGCTTTAGGTGGCTTAAGAACAAGTACACTCAAGTTGTTCATGGCTGGTGGTGATTTCGGACGGGCTCTTGGTGTAAGAACAAGTTTTTTTTTTTCTTTTTTTTCTTTTTTTTTTCTTTTTCACNATGGGAAGATTAGATTGCAGTTTTTATCCATTGGTCACACAGTGAACAGGTTTGTGTTCATTAAACGGTAAAATGTGTTGATTTAACGAAAAAAAAATAACAATCTTTATCAAACGGTCAAAAATTCCAGCACTAGTATGATAACCCTTGCTATATTTTCTGTCTGTAGTTCTTTGTTGTTGCTGAGATTGATGTCATGAAATCGAAATCATTACAAGTATACATATATATGATTAGAAGAACATTAAAAACCTGCAAAAGATCAAGCCTTTTACACTTGCAGACAAATAATATATATGATCACAATGCAGGGAAACATGTATATGCCTGTAACCTACTGTTTTCCATTGATCAATTTCATGTAAATAACTTCAGCAGAAAATGAATACCCGTTAGTCATTCTTCTTAGCCTAACCCCACAGAATTTCCATTATTCGTTTATGAATTTGTGTATTGACATCTTATCTGAAAAAAAATTAGTACGAGTCACTACACCATGTATGAATAATTAAGGATGGTTTTATATATCGTGCCATCTCACATCAGCTTCGAATGAAAAGGACTAGAGTTTCTACCTTGAAAATAACTCATAATAACATTTTGATTAGCACAAATCTATAACATAAATGTGTTATAAAAGTATAAGCCCTCTGCATCAGGCAGCATAAATATTGCTATCCATTCATGTTTCTACACCTAATCTCGCTCTAAACTACTTTGGGCTTTTTCTGGGGCTCGACCGTAAATTGTACAAGAGAAAAACGGAGTTGTTAGCTCCCTCAAGTTTCAACCCACGTCAGATTCCCCACGATCAAATATTTACCCGGAAGACTTCCAGCAGATGGCGCAAGGTACGTAACTGTCTTGCTGCAATATTTTTCACAAATTTATATAAAGATTTTGTGCTAGCAACAAAAAAACGGCAATTATTGAATTAAAGAGTTTGAGATCAAACCTTTCGAAGTTAATGCCAGTGATCCAGATGAACCCAGCAACATTACTGACAAGAGAGGGGGGGAAAAAAAACATCATGAGATGGTCTCTCATTCATTGCTTTCAATTATTTAATTTTTCACAAATTTCTACTGTTAACAAAGATGCATACTTATATAATGAAATATCATACTTCTGTTTTTT